GAGAAAGCCCTGAGAAATTCATGGGATGTCTTAAGTCAAGAGGCAACTTAAAGACACACATAATACAACTACTATCCTAGAAGTTTAAGTAAGATCTTCACATCCTATCCTGAACTCAACTATTTTTGTACATTTTCTTCCTAGCAGTCTGAAAGTATTGCAGAACTTCATGTTTAAATATTTAAGTGATATATAGCATCAATAAGGATTCCCCTGCCACTATCTTAACCTTGATGAGTGGTACATGTGTGCCTGTCTACCCTTAAAAGAAAAAAAGGGGGGGGGGGGAGTAAAAAAAAAAAGCCTACATCTTCCCATGTCCTGATGGTTGCAATGTGGACACCATGCCTGTTTGTGTATGTGTGGGGGACTTCAAGTCATGTATTAACTTCTAATGACCCCATGAATTCCATATGGTTTTCTTAGGCAAGTAATACTCTGATCGTTTTGCTCACTTCTTCTGAAGTGTGGCCTAAAACAATAGGTATTGGTGGGAAGTCTCCCATCCAAGTAAAAATCAGAGTTGACTGCTTAGTTTTCAAGATCCAGTGTGTTTAGGGCACTCAAGTCTGTAAACAATCCCTACAGGGATCTCAAACTGCACACAGTGGTCTGAATTCTATCGCTAGTTCCAAACACAGAAGTCCCACTTAATGAATAGTAGCAGTCAACATATATAAGTTCCATCTGCTCAAAAGGTCTACCTCAGTTAGATTCAAGGCTATATAGGTAGTTTAATTTTTAGAACTGTAATTGGAAGCTGGCATGACAAGTTGTCAAAACACACTTGAAAATATCTCTAACAAGTTTTGCCTGTCCCCCTTTTCACACAGCGCTGACAGATCAGTTGTCTCTATCAAAAAGAGTGAGGTGTTACTTTACTACTTCTGGAACATACAGCTAGATGCTTTCTTGATTCTTTGAGGGAAGCCAAGTCAAGTTTTTACTACGTAGTGTCTCAAGTGAGTATGGTCCCACTTAGTTACAAAGCAATCAGCATTGTATGAATGTATGCCCCAATTGTGGATTTTGAATTCACAACAAAAATGAAACAATGACCAGCTGAGGTTACAAAACATAACCATGGACTACTCTTGTGCCTACACAATAAAGGGATTTGTGAATCAACTACTAACCCTATGTTGCTGTTGTTGGCTTTCAAGTTTCCAATTTATGGCAACATTATCATTGGATTTAAAGTTTTCTACCATGGTCTTCCTCTAAGGCTGACAGAGCATGACTTACCCAAGGTCACCCAACAGGTTTTCATGTCCGAGTGGGTCACCTCCAGAGTCACAATCCAACAAATCACTAAACCATGCTGTCTCTCGTTAACCCTATGTGTGTTGTGCCTCCAAGGTACACACTGGCTTAACACAAGTCTATGAATTTCGTAGATTTTTCTTAATGCTTTTGTATTCCTCTGAGATGTAGCCTCCAGTATTCATTTGCCATCTACAGACTAATCGGGGCTAACTTTGTTTAGCTGGACCCTTAAGGGTATTCAGAGACTCATCCCTAAACCCATAGGAATCTTTTCAATTGTCAGAAAATATTGCCATCCATATTTTTCACCAAAGAGGCACAGGCAGACATCCTTAGTCCCAGCCGCCTCATAAGGGAAAAGCTGTCACAACACCCCCTTTCCCATATTGTGAAAACAGAGAATCCACCACCTTTGTTTCCACCTGACTGTGTAGGTGTGCCTTGAAGTTACATGTTGACTTATTGAAACCCCATGAACCTTTTAAAGGTTTCTTAGTCCTTTTACCAATTTATTCTATAAAGCATAGCCTCCAGTATTTATCTTCCATTTCCCATCTAGGGACTAACCAGGGCTGACCCTGTTTAGCTTCCAAGTCCAGACTGGACCTGGTGTATTTAGACCCTATTCCTTAACCCTATAGGAATCTTTAAATTGTCAGAAAACATTATCACCCATCTTTTACACTGACATCCTCAGAAAGAAAGAAAAAGCCATTGCCACACCCCTTTTCCACCTATTCTTAAAGCAGAGCACCCATCTCCTTCATCTCCATTTGAACTGCCAGGCCATGAGAAGGAGCAGAACAAACAGCAACAATACAGCCTCATCTTACCTTTCTCAACTTATCCCTCCACAAAAATTGCATGTGCCAACTCACTCTGAGGGACCGGGGAGCAAAAACACTGTCAAACCGACATTGAAGAGAGTGGCTTCTTTAAGGCCCAGATGGTGATTACACAAACCACAGAGCACTGCTACACACTTTGAGGGCTTTCCTTCTTTCATGCACTTTTGTGGGAGTTTGCTGTTCAACTGCTGCCACAGTTTGAAGCAAACTTCAAACTGCATTAAGTTGTCAAATGTAGCATGAATCCTTGCTTGCCACCCACCATCCCTTCACCTTTTGGGTGCATCCCAAATGTCGCTGATAGCCTTGTTGCCCTTGAAGCAGTGGTTCTCAACCTGTCAGCCCCCACGTGATTTAGCCTATAACTCCCAGAAATCACAACCAGTTTACCAGCTGTTGGGATTTCTGGGAGTTGAAGGCCAAAACATCTGGGACCCACAGGTTGAGAACCACTGCCTTGGAGGGTCTGGAGCCCAGAACTAGAACAGTGGAGACTCAAGACCGCTTTCCCCACATTCACCTAAAGCAGTGGTTCTCAACCTGTGGGTCCTTAGATGTTTTGGCCTTCAACTTCCAGAAATTCTAACAGCTGGTAAAATGGTTGGGATTTTTGGGAGTAGTACTCCAAAATATCTGGGAACAAACAGGTTGAGTACATCTGGTCATCAACCGTAATAGTTTACTTATTTACTTACTCAGGTTGAGAACCACTGACCTAGAGAAACCTGGGGTCCATAGAAACATAGGATTGGAGGAATCATAGAGTTGGAAGAGACCACAAGGAGCCTCCAGACAATGCAGGAACACACATCAAAACAACCCCCACAGATGGCTAGCCAATCTCTGCTTTAAAACCTGCAGAGGAGACTCCTCCACACTCTGGGCAAGCATATTTCACTGCCAAAGAGTTCTTATCACCCGGAAGTAATGTTTAGGTGTGATCTCCTTTCCAGCAATTCGAATTCATTGCTCCCTGCCTTAGTCTCCAGAGCAGTAGGAAACTAACACAATGTGTATCATTAAAGGCTTTTATGACTGGAATCACTGGGTTGCTGGGAATTTTCTGGGCTGTGTGGCCATGTTCCAGAAGCATTCCTCCTAAAGTTTCACCTGCATCTATGGAAGGCGTCCTCAGAGGTTGTAAGGTCTGTGGGAAACTAGGAAAATGGAGTTTATATATCTGTGGAATATCCAGGGTGGGAGAAAGAACTCTTGTCTGTTTGGGGCACGTGTGAATGTTGCAACTGGCCACCTTGATTAGCATTTAATGGCCTTGCAGTTCCAAGGTCTGACTGATTCCTGCCTGGGGGAATCCTTTGTTGGGAGGTGATTAGCTGGCCCTGATTGTGTCTTGTCTGGAATTCCCCTGTTTTTAAGTGTTGTTCTTTATTTCACATTTTGATTTTATAGTTTTTTTAATACTGGTAGCCAGATTTTGTTCATTTTCATGGTTTCCTCCTTTCTGTTGAAATTGTCCACATGCTTCTGGATTTCAGCGGCTTTTCTGTGTAGTCTGACACGGTGGTTGTTAGAGTGGTCCAGCATTGTTTGTGTTCTCAAACAATATGCTGGGTCCAAGTTGGTTCAACACCTCCTAAGAAAGTATTCCCCCAGGCAGGAAGCAGCCAGGCTTTGAAATTGCAAGGGCATTAAATGCTAACCAAGGTGGCAAACTGTAACATTCATACCTACTTTTAATATATGTGTGTTATAGCGACAATTATTATGCTTATATTTTGTTTGTTAATCTTATGGCTAAGTTGTTTTTACTCTGTATGTTTTGTGATGTTACTTGGGAACCGCTCTGAGTCCCCTCGGGGAGATGGAGCGGTATATGAATAAAGTTGTATTGTTATTATTATTACCTCAAACAGACAATAGTTCTTTTTCCCACCTTGGACATTCCACAGATATATAAACCAATAGACTTCACAACCTCTGAGGATGTTTGCCATAGATGCAGGTGAAACGTCAGGAGAGAATGCTTCTGGAACGTGGCCATACAGCCCGGAAAACTCACAGCAAACCAAAAACTCGAGGTGACATCCTCTCAACCATTTAAAGCAGACATGGGCCAATTTCACTCCTCTCTCCAGGTGTTGTGGACTTCAACTCCCACCATTCCTAACAGCCTCAAGACCCTTAAGTGGCTGAAGAGGAAAAAGAAGGGGGCTTGAGGCTGTTAGGAATTTTGGGAGCTGAAGTCTGAAACACCTGGAGGGAAAGCCGAAGTTGGCCCATGCCTGCTTTAAACAGTAAACGCTTCGGACCCCCGGGACACTCAGTTAAGAGCATCGGGGGAGCGCCGAGAGGCAGGGGCTGGGACAATGGCTTCAAACTACAAGAGAGGAGATTCCATCTGAACATGAGGAAGAACTTCCTGACTGTGAGAGCCGTTCAGCAGTGGAACTCTCTGCCCCGGAGTGTGGTGGAGGCTCCTTCTTTGGAAGCTTTTAAACAGGGGCTGGATGGCCATCTGTCAGGGGTGATTTGAATGCAATATCCCTGCTTCTTGGCAGGGGGTTGGACTGGATGGCCCATGGGGTCTCTTCCAACTCTTTGATTCTATCACATCCCCTCTCGGCCTTCTTTTCTCCAAGCTCGCTTCCAAACCCCATGGGCCATGCAGGGAGTGGACACAACCAAAGCAGCCCCGACAGATGGCCTTGCCTGAAAGCCCTGAGCTGCACTGAAGTCTAAAACACCTGGAACGAAGGCCGAAGTTGGCCCATGCCTGCTTTAAACACAGGTATCACATCTCCTCTCGGCCTTCTGTTCTCCAAGCTCGCCTCCAAACCCCATGGGCCATGCAGGGAGTGGATACAACCAAAGCAGCCCCGACAGATGGCCTCGCCTGAAAGCCCTAGGCCGCATCTTGGCACTCACTGGCCAGCCGAGGTCCGTCCATGCCCGCTCCTCCTCCGGCGCCGCTTCCTGCTGCTCCTGCTGCGGCCAAGTCGGGGCCCTTCTTGGGGCCTGCCGCCAGCGAGGCCCCGTGCGGGCCCGGGTAACCCCCGCTGTGTCCCGGCGAGGCGGCCACGGGTCCCGGCCCCAGCCCGAGCGGGAGCCCCCCCAGCGCCACGGCGGGCGGGAGAGGCGGCGGGGGCGGGCCCGGGCAGGCGGCTGAGGCGGCGCCGCCGGGCTCCTCGTGCAGGAACTGGCACTCCTCGCCGTAGAAGCACGTCTTGTCCTTGGCGTAGTAGCGGCAGAACTTGAGCTTCAGGCCGCCGGGGAGGCCTCCCGCGCCCGCTGCCACTGCGGGGAGGCCTAGGCCCGGGCCCGGAGCCAGAGCAGGCCCGCCCGCCGCCGCCGCCGCCGCCGCCGGGGAGGAGCAGGGCAGCCCCGCGCTGTTCATGGCGCCGACGCTACAGCGCCATGAACAGCCGGGCCGCCTCAGGAGGCCCCGCCGTGGCCGGACGAGGAACCATGAGGGAAAGAGGAGGAGGAGGGAAGGCCGCTGCCGCCGCCTCCTCCGCCGCCACTGTCAAGGCCCAAGGCCGGGCAGCTCAAGGGGAGGGCTTCGCTCACGCGGAGAAAGGCCCGACGGATGTCGCTGAGGGGGAAACGCAGCTGGGCCTCGAATGGTCCCTGTGGCGGCAGCAGCGGCGGCGGCGGCGGGGTTGTTTATGCCATTTTCCTCTTCCTGAGCTGCCGCCTCAGCGCGCCTGCGCCACAGCCAGAGCGGGGGCCGATGGGTAATCCGGGCCTGGAGCAGGAAAAGGCGTCCAAAGAGGCCTGGCCCTCAGAGAGAGAGAAAGAGAGCCTTTCCAGGCAGGCCCTCTATATCCTAGGTTCTGATCCCAGGTTTTCTGTGTATCCCAATTATCTGAGGCTCCTTCCACACAGCTGAATAAAATCCCACATGTGACAATGTGGACTCCTATAACCCAGTTCAAAACAGATATTCTGGGATTTTTTTGCCTTGATATTCAGGGTTATATGGCCGTGCAGACTCCTATCCCTAAAGGTAAATGTTGTGTCCGACTGGGGGTTGGTGCCCACACTAGAATATATGGCAGTGTGGACTCCTATAACCCAGTTCAAAACATATTCTGAGATTGTCTGCCTTGATATTCAGGGTTATATGGCTGTGCAGACTCCTATACCTAAAGGTAAAGGTTGTGTCCGACTCTGGGGGTTGGTGCTCATCTCCATTTTGAAGCCAAAGAGCCGGCGTTGTCCGTAGACACCTCCAAAGTCATGTGGCCGGCATGAATGCATGGAGCGCCCGTTATCTTCCCACCAGAGCGGTACCTATTGATCTACTCACACTTGCATGTTTTCGAACTGCTAGGTTGGCAGAAGCTGTGGCTAACAGCGTGAGCTCATGCCGCATACTCATATAATCCAGTTTAAAGCAGAAAACCTTAGGACAGGGGTTCTCAAACTAAGGCCCTCCAAGGTCATTTACCCGGCTCTCGCTTAGGGTCAACCTAAGTCTGTAACGACTTGAAAGTACACAACAACAACAATCCTACCTCATCAGCCAAAAACAGGCCCACACTTCCCATTGAAATACTAATAAATTTATATTTGTTAAAATTGTTCTTCATTTTAATTATTGTATTTTTTAAAGTGGTTTTTGCACTACAAATAAGATATGTGCAGTGTGCATAGGAATTCATTCATGGTTTTTTTTCCAATTATAATCCAGCCCTCCAACAGTTTGAGGGACTGTGACCTGGCCCTCTGTTGAAAAAGTTTGAGGACCCCTGCTTTAGGATATAGTACAATATACAGGGTGAGGCAGCATAACTTCCTTTTTTAAAATGCACACCATTCAGTCAGTTGAAGACGTAACAGAGCACTAGTGGTCTCATTTGAGAGGCAGGAGTATAAAGTTTTGTCCTGACAGTTCAGTCGCCATCATGCGCTGGAACAGTGAGGAGCGTGCTTTTGCCGTTGAGGCCTATTTTTGAGCGGATTTGGAGTGGCCAGCCTGCTCTCCAGATATGGCTCCTTGTGATTTTTTCTATGGAGTTTTTTGAAATCCCGTGTTTATGTGAACCGTCCAAGGACTCTACAAGATTTGAAGACCAACATCCAGGAAGAAATTGCCAACATAACACCTGCTATGCTGGGAAGAGTCATGACAAACGCCAGAAATCGGTTTACTCAGTGTATGGAGAATGGGGGACGTCACCTACCTAATTTGATCTTCAAAACTACATAAAACAAAACTTTAGATATGCGCCTACATTATAAAAAAATAAAATAAAATAATTCTGATTCATACAAGTTTTATTAAGTTTTGAAAAAGTTATGCTGCCTCACCCTGTATTACATAATACAAATAGTATAATATACTGGTCGTGTATTATATATATTGTGGTATAATAGTATAGTACAATATTTTTTTTGTCGTGTCAGGAGCAACTTGAGAAACTGCAAGTCACTTCTAGAGTGAAAGAATTGGCCATCTGCAAGGATGTTGCCCAGGTGACACCCGGATGTTTTGATGTTTTACCATCCTTGTGGGAGGCTTCCCTCATGTTCCCGCATGAGGAGCTGGAGCTGATAGAGGGAGCTCATTTGTGCTCTCCCTGGATTCGAACCTGCGACCCGTCGGTCTTCAGTCCTGCCAGCACAGGGGTTTAACCCACTGTGCCACCGGGGCTCATACAATATAATAATTGTATATTATATATTACGTGTAATATTACTGATAATATTGCAGTATAGTGGAGCCCCCAGTGGTGGTTCAAATCTGAACCAAAAGGTCAGTGGTCCAAATCTGAGGAGTGGGGTGAGCTCCTGCTTTTAGCCCCAGTTTCTGCCAACCTAGCAGTTCAAAAATATGCAAATTTTATATAAAACATTTATATTCTGCCCTTTTCACCCAGAAGGGAACTCAGGGCAGAGCACCACATATATACAGCAAAAATTCAATGCCAGAACATAAAATAAACTATAAATATACATACACACTTAAATCAGTTATCTCCACTTTAAAATCAATTGTTTAACACCATCTCAGATCAGCCATACCATATCCAGCCAGCACGGAAAGTTTCCCATTGTTGCCTTATTACACTGTCCCAAAGGCTTGGTCCCACAGCTGAGTTTTACCATCTTAAGGTAACAGCAATCCATGCAGTCATGCCGACCGCATGACTTCGGAGGCATCTACTGACAATGCTGGCTCTTTCATTTAGAAATGGAGATGAGCACCACCTCCCAGAGTCGGACATTATTAGACTTAATGTCAGGGGGAAACCCTGTACAATATTATAATGTTTATTCACTCAATCGCGTCCGACTCCTTGTGACCTCATGGAACAACACATCAGAGTTCCCTGTCAGCCGTCGCCACCCCCAGCTCCTTCAAGGTCAAGCCAGTCACTTCAAAGATAACATCCATCTATCTTGCTCTTGGTCGGCCCTTCTTCCTTTTTCTTCAATTTTCCCCAGCATCATTCTCTTCTCCAAGCTTTCCTGTCTTCTCATTATGTGGTCAAAGTACTTCATCTTTGCTCCTAATATCCTTCCCTCCAGTGAGCAGTTGAGCTTTCTTTCCTGGAATATGAACTGGTTTGAATTTCTCATTGTCCAAGACGTATCAAGGGTTAGTTTGTTTACTATGGAGAATACTCATGGCTTCTCGTATCTGGACTTTAAACAACTGCATCTGTTACAACATGAGTTTATGGGTGTTTAGTTGGAATTAAAGCTTATTGAATTCAGTAGCACTTATTCCCAGATAAGGGATTAAACCACACAATCCTATAGTCAAATACTAAACTTGATAATGGGTAGTGGGACTGGATAATTGGACATATAATTGCAGCCTCATTATATTGTCCTGTGGTTTTGAGGTAGGTTTTTGTGTGTGGTCAGTATCAAAGAAAAAATGACTAAAATGGGATGAAAAGAAATTTTATATACTGTATATACTCGAGTATAACCCTAGTTTTTCAGCCCTTTTTTAGGCTGAAAAAAACCCTCTCGGATTATACTCAGGTGAGGGTCCTGGCAGGTTGGCATGAGGCTGAAAGAAGGGCTTTTTTCAGCCCCACGCCTTTCTGCCAGGACCCTCACTTTTCCACACAGCAACCTAGCTCTCCTCACACCTTCCTCTCCTCCTCTCTGCCTCCAGTTTTCCTCACTTTTCCTTATTCATACACACACAGCATTTTCCACAACATGTATAGTTAAAATAAACTATGGTGATTATTGGAAGGATATGTAAGCACATTTACATCGAAGAAGGTTAGAATAATGATTTAATCAGATAAGGCAGTCTTATCTTAAATTACAGTTTTATGTAAATATTCAAAAACATTTAACCTACTGATGCATCAATTAATATAATTTTATTGGTATCTATTTTTATTTTGAAATTTACCAGTAACTGCTGCATTTCCTAGCCTCAGCTTATACTCGAGTCAATACATTTTCCCAGTTTTTTGTGGTAAAATTAGGTGCCTCAGCTCACATTCGAGTCGGCATATACTCGAGTATATACAGTATTTGGTTATGCTAATGCATATGTATGTATCTTTATGAGTGGCATGAAGATTCAGCACACAGCACCAAAAATGGCAGGTAAGAGCAAATCCTCAAAAGATGCAGAATCCATTGTGTGTTTTGCATGTTGGATTTATTTTTTTAATGAATACCTGTATTTGCACTATGTCCATAATGAAATATCTTAGAGATGTGTCTCAGGTCTAAACATGAAATTCATTTATGTTTCATACACACCTTGCACACATAGCCTGAAGGAAATGTTATACAATTGTTTATGTTGAAGACAATAGTTTTGTACAGATCTATCAGAAAACAAATGTGTATCTTAGCAATGTGTGCAGACAGTTTTAGATTGCTTGTCTTTTAAGTCGCTTCCTGACTATCAACTCTGTGTGTCATGAACTCCAACTCTCCCTTGGGCATGGCTGCATTCTCTTGAAATGGTACTCACATGTTAACTAGATATTCTTATAGGTGCGCAATATCCTCATTGCTCCTAATAATGACATTTGCATTCTGTATTCCTTCCCGAAACCAAATCACTTTGCATATCTATCAGCACATACCACAGAGTGGCAGGCTGCTTCCATCTAAGCTCCAGTACATGTAACATAGTTGTCGTCAAAAATGTAATTTTTCAAAGCCTCTTGTTATAAAGCACACAGAAGCAGCAAGAAATCTCACCACTTCTGTGGTCCAAAGCCAACTGCTAGTGACAAACCACCAAAACGGCCACCGGCCACTGACATATCTTGATCTTGAGCCTTGGAAACAGAAGATTTAACCAGGCAAGGAGGTCTTATACCTGCAACAATGATGAGAATGCAGCTCATAAGCACCCAAATTCACAAGTGTCAACTACTTGGTGAGTATAACTATTAACTTTGGTAGTGCCAGAATTAATGCTGCAGCCACTTGGTCTCTTCTCTTTTCCAAACTATTGTCTTTATTATTCCTTTCTCCCCTCCTAGCATCCGTAGACCTGCAATATTTTCTCAAAGTTAGGAAAATTTTCTTGGATCCCATATTGGATTACTTGAGTTCCATTTTGGGATAAAATACAATGTTCATAGAATTAATTAGTAGTTCCTATTAGAGTAGAACCATTACATAAGTGCTGACTTGTCATTCAGGAATTGGGTCTACTCTAGTTCGGATGAAAAACTGAATGCAAATCATTGTGTCTAAAGTTCAGTTTAGTGAATGCTATGATTTTGAGTTGTGAAGAGTCTCCTTCAGAGGTGGAGGGCAATAGAAGCCTGATCATTCTGAGACGCTGGAAGCCGATTAATACTGTCAGCTGGTGCAAAATGCTGTGGAGGAAACAAAGGCAGCTCTGTCTGATGGAAGATGAATTTGGATGTTCTTGCAGGTAGTCTGCTAGACATTGCTATTTCTCTGAGGTTGAAAGGGCTGATTCATCACAAGTTTTGAAGTAAGATTCAGCTGTTAGTCTAGTTGACTTCTGTCGGTCTAATGGGCTGAGCATATCTTGTCCTATTCCCCATACAGTGAAAAGTCTTTGGTTGCTGTGAGCTAGTTCTAGGTAAATAAGGCTTTCTCAAAGCTTGGCAAATTTACTTTTTGCTGGACTACTGCTTTCAGAATGCAGAGAGATACTGTGAGTTCCAACAAAATAAAATTTGCAAATTCTGCTTTCTATCTTCTTCATGTTCTGTGATGTTTTCCTTCTCCAGTTATAGTTTCTCCCTCACTATTTTTCGTTCATGTGTTTCAATTTCTCTCCCTTTGCACCCAATGATGAGGAAAAGTGGTTTTCTAGTACTAAGAATGCTTAAAGATTATCAATGGATATAAAAGAATAATGGCTTTTGCTTGATCAGCTTCATTTGGCATAAACATTTGGGAACTGTGGCTGCAGTATGGTTTTGGTAAATTTTATTAGGTATGCAAATAGTTAATGAAACAACAATTAGTAGACTTTTATTACAGGAATTCTATATTCCACCTGTAGGAGAGAGGGGGGAGGGGAAGGAGAGAGGAGGGAGATGCTTTTAATTAGCCCTTCATGTTTCTTTATATGGTGCTTCACCGATTATATTAAATGCTTATTCTATCTTCACAATTTTGTGCAATACTTTCCTTTCAAAATAATATTGTTCATCTTAATTTGCAAGACCAAAAGATTGGTGGTCTCTCTTAAGGTCAAAATAAGGCAAGGTCGGCTTGATGGCAAACAACAACAAAATATGTTATTTTATAAATCTTTATAGATTGCTCAGAAGATTTAAAAGCATACTATATTTAAAAAAAGAGCAGCAATGCATGCAAATCACAAAATGCAATAATGATATAGCTAATAAGTCTGGAGGACCTAAGGAAAATGGCAAAAAGTTATTTTCTAAACATGCATTTGAAAATATTTTTTGGAGTATGCCCATTTTTTAACCAATGTATCACCATTAATCTTATAAAATTCTAGATTAAGAATGAAGAACCTCTATGTGTTGCTGAATTACAGGTGTTGTTATCCCTTTTAGCTGGCCATTCAGAGTGGGAATAATGGGAACAGGAACCCAGAGATACATCTAGATAATCACAGGTCTCATTCTTAAAGGGAAAGCCATTGCTCTACAGAGCTCTCATTGACCTCTAGAGATGGATTATAATGTGATAGATGTTGTTGTTATTGCCAAGGACAAGGGATGATGATCTCAAATCCTTTAGCTTAGCTTTTGAACTTTCTCCTTGATCCTGCCAGAAGGCAAGGAACTGGCTGCAAGCTCCATGATCTCCATTTGTGCCAGTATATTTACCTGAGCACACACCCATGCACTGCTAGTATAACATCATTATTTATTCCAACTTTAGCAATGGGAAGATCCTATCTGTGATAGTGTTCATTGCTTTGGAGAGTGGTGAACTTTCCATCTTTGGCAGTCTCCAAACAGAGGTTGAATGAACATCTTTCAGAAGTGCTCTAGTTGTGTTTTCCTTCATGGCAGGTGCTTGGATTAGAGGTATTTCCATGTTCCCATTCTATGATATGGAGTCATGGGAATTGCAGTCTATAACTTCTTTAGCCTTCTCTGCTCACCAAACTATAAATCCCAGGATCCCATACTACTGAGCCATCGCAGCTAAAGTGGTGTCTAACTGCACACTAATGGATAGTAATGGAGGAGCCACATAGCAAAGCATTCACTTAAGACGGGGTGGAGGGGAGGGGCAGGCAAAATGCAACCCTCAAAATCTTCTGAACAGGGACACAGATAACAAAACAAACACCACAGCTGTGTTAACCTTCCCTATGCCATCAAAACCTTTTATCTATCTATTTATCACTGTATGACTGACTCTATATATATGGCTGGAGGCATACTTAGAAATGTAATTGTTCCAACTTACATACAAAATCAACTTAAGAACAAACAGACAGAACTTATTTTGTTTGTAACTTGGGGACTGGCCATACAATGGTTTACCTACAGATATTTTTTGAGCAATTTAAAATGGACAAAATTTATTTGTATTTGTAATGGATAAACCTGAACGTGAAACTGTTCTAGACTCTGGAGATGACCACTTAATTGCTAAGTTGTATAAATTATGGTTAAAATATGAAATGGAGGAGGAACATGTGAAAGACTTTAGTTAAGTAGGCCAAAAAAAGGTAAACAAATGCAAACAAAACAATGGGAAAGGGCCTCGACAAAGAGTTTGAAATTTATACTGAGTAAAAGAAAATTTGAAATAAAGAAAATTTGTTTAAGATGATTTACAGTTGGTACCTGACAGTGGAAAAACTGCTAAGATGCACAAAAAATAGTTCTAGTAATTATTACAAAAGTGGAGGAAAGGTGAGCACCTTTTATCATATGTGATGGTGTGTAAAAGAGCCCAGATACACTGGGCACAAGTACATATTATTTTAAAAGAAATTGTTACAGTTAAATTTGAAATGAAAACTGACCTCTATCTTCTTGATATGTTGGATGATCAACTCAATAGAAAATATGGAAGCATATTGTTATACATTACAATGGCAGCAAGAATGATCTGTGCTCAAAGATGAAAAGACACAGTGATTCTGACACAATGAAAATAAGTGAATTTGTGGAAATGAATAAACTTATGTTGATGAAGGAGAAATCCCTAACTAAGGAGCTGCCATGGGGAAGTGAGAACTGGTCATATGTGCAACCTAATGAATGTATGATTTCGATACTTTGGAGAGCCGTAGCACTATGACATTAATATCACTGGTAATTTGGGAAAATAAGTGGCATTTTTCCTGGAATCGAAGTCTAGCTTTGGGACTGTGGACTTCAGCAGGATGATTGCCTTATTCAAAGCCTGTAAAATATACCAGAACATGTTTAGGCACTGAGTAGATGCCAGAAATGCTAAATTTGAAACAATCCAGGGACAGAGGCAAGTACAATCCTGACACATACCTTTGCAAGGCAAGCAATGTTATTGTCTGAAGTTTATTCAAACAGGGATTAGGTGGTACAATACATTAAACTTCAGCTCCAAATGTAAAAAATCCTGCCATGTGTGTATGTGTTGTACAGGCAAAACAAATGCTTCACCTGTGGAAACCCACACTGGATCTGTCTGCATCTTTACACAGAAAAAAGGAGCGGATCCATTGGTTTATTTTCTGAACAGTGGTGTGCCTAGGGTTGGCTTCACCTGATGCTGCTACTTAAGCATGTAGCTGGGGGGGGGGGGGGGGTTGAGGGGTTCAGCCCCCCCCCCCCCGAAATTCTCATGGTGGTTCGCGAAAAGGCCTTACTGGTACATTATTTAAACCGTTATGTTTATTCATATCATGATCTGATCACCATGCTCAATATATCCCATATGCATGGGGGTATTGGGGTAACGATACAAAAGGTTTGCTAGGGTAGACCCTCTTTCACTCAGACTCAGCCCCCCCCCCCCCCGAAACAACCCCCCCCCCCCGAATCGAAATCCTGGCTACGGGCCTGCTGCTACTCATGGTGTTACTTCTTTGTACCACATTATTGTTGCTACATTTTTTTAAAATGGCAAAATTGTTGACTATTAAAAACTGCAACAATGAAAGCATACGGACAAAAGCACATGATTCGAAATGTCACTGTAACTGAAGAATAATGACAGCTTTGACTGGAGCACATGCACATTAAAAGATTTAAAATTGAAATCAGCATAGAAATTTAGCCTTGTAGGTATAATGATCTAATAAATTGGTCTTACAAAATAATGTTTTTGTGATTATATTGAACTACAGGGGTGGTTTTATTATATATAAAAATTCTTTTTTGCTATGGAATCCTGGGAGTTGTAGTTTGGTGAGGCAACAGCACTCACGATTACATAGCATTGAGCTATGGTGGGTAAGGTGGAGTGATACCACATTAATTCTACAGTGCACCCTTACATTTGAATTCCATTCCATAGTCTGTTGGTCCTTGGTCCAACAACCAGGTGTTATTTATGGTTTTTTGTTAAGAGTCATGAGTTTTTCCTCTATGATGGTACTGAAAGGATGAGTCAACTAGTTAAAAATTATTTCATTTTGAAGGGGAAATCAATGAAGTACTGGAATGACAAACAGTATCATTTTTTGTTATTGCTGGAATGGCATAAGTTGTTGGGACACTGTAGAGTTGCATTTTCTGTTCTCTGCTGCACGAAAGTCCCACCCTCCTTCCAAAAGATAATGTATCTAAGGTATGATCTAGCATGCAACTAACGTCAAAGGCTAAGTAATGGAAATTGCTGTTTCATATTCTTGAGGGCATCCAGGGAATCAGGACATTATTTCCCATACTTGCCCAGGTTAACAATACATGGACCTCCTGATTAAAATTTTGCATCACAATACATTCTATTTGTGGTTTTATGTAAGAG